CCCCCCCCCCCGCACTGGGCGAACGCACCGACGGGGTCCTCGCAGTCGGGGTCGGTCGAGACAGGGGGGGGCACCGAAGGCGCGAAGGTCGCCACGATCGGCTCGGTCGGAGAGTCCATGGGCGTGGCCGGCTCGAGCTCGGCGGTGGGCGCGGGCGTGGGCTCGTCGGTGTCCTGTTCCTCGTCATCATCATCGACCGTCGCGGGCGCCGGTGTCCGCGCCTCGTACTCCTCCTCCTTGTCCCCCTCTTGTTCCGATGTCGTGGGGGACGGCGTCATGGGCTCTTCGTACTCCTCTTCCGGAGTCGGGGCGTACGTGGGCTCGTACTCTTCGACGACGACCGCGGGCGCCGGGGTAGGCTCGATGAGTTCGTCCACGGGGGCCTCGGATTCTTTGTGGGTTTCAGGGGTGGGGGCAGGCGCGGGCCCGGGGCCCCCGTCTGGTCGTCGAATGCAAAGACGCGAACGGCGGCAGCCGCGGCGGCGGCGGTAGGTATTGGTGGCACGCGTCAGAGGCTTGTGTGTGTGTATGTCGTGATTTCATTAAGTGAAGGATCTTGTTGCTGCGCGCTTAAACCGCGCGGGGGGGAAGATGACTCAATACTTGTGTGCGTCAGCGAGGAGCTCGCCACGAGTATTGGAGAGGTAGTTTTGCGTGCGCACCAAACCGCTGGGCGGCCCGACGTGGTTCCTTGTTCGGCCGAAAACCAAACTCACGGCCGATAATTTTGGGGCAACGATCAAACCATTCTGACTGCTGTCAGGATGCCACAACAAAGTGCCTCTATTCCTACACCACGAAGCGCTACTGGTGATGAGATGGAAGGTCGGCATAGGTCATGACGAGCCTCACCGGACGTGATCGAGACATCGGCGCAGTTCCAGAACTCCTCCGGGTAAGCGTCGCCGTCGCCGCACTGCCCGACGGCCTCCTTGATCCAGTCGGCCTTGGACGGGGCGCACGAGCCGGGCCATGAGGGAGGGTTGAACTCGGCGTAACCTTGGTGCTTGCACGAGTTCCCTGTATCTGCGGTGTGGCGAGAAGAGCGGCGGGGGGATTTCGCTGATTACAAACGAGAGATAATGCTGGTGCGAGGTGCCGGGACAATGAACTAAGCAAACAAACCGAATTCAAAAAAACCCTGTTGTACCGGGGTCTATTCAATATCTGTGCTGAAGCTACCGTGCACAGCGCCCAGACGTAGATAGCGCCTGGGTCCGATCTACAACGCCACTGAAAGTGTTGGCGCATGAACAGAGGGCCGTCGTAGCGCGGGTTAAGATGGACCTGTTCGTCGGGTTGTTCGTCAACATTGTTCCCAGCAAGCAGTGCGACTCATCCGTCCGGATACAGAATAAGAGATTTTGCTCCACAGTAACATACCGGCATCACAACAACGACAACTGTTGAACAGTGCTGTGCTGTAAACGGGTTTTGTGCGGCATCGTCCCTGCGGATACCGCCGGAAAATAGAGATTGGCACCACCTGCCACCAACAAAGCGCTTCGACGATGACGACGTGGAAGTCCACAACGACAACCAAGCCTCAACAAAAACAACAACAACAACAACAACAACAACAACAGCAACAGCAACAACAAAATCAAAAACAACAACAACAACAACAACAACAACAACAACAACGACTCACAGTATGCCATCTGGACGACGCAACGCTCGCAAGTCACCCCCTGGGGCAGCTGGAACCGGGCCGTGGCCACGTCGCCGGGGAAGGCGCCTGGCACAAGTTCCTGGTCGGTTTCGCTGGCGCGGCAGGGGGGGTCGAGGATGAAGCGCCCCCTGTTGAGGGGGTCGATGGGGCCGTTGAACTCGTCGTCTTCCGCGCGGTCCAGGGGATGCTCGTTGAAGCAGGACTGCGTGACGACGCTGTCGGGGCCGTCCGGGAGGTCGTCGGCGTCGCAGAGGAACATCTCCACGTGTCCCTGTGCCCGTCCGCCCAAAAAAAAAAACGCAACATTGCGTCAATCGATAATTGACAACGAGGTTATAAGTGCGGGGATCTGCATAGTAGCGTAAGAGAGAAGAATGGTGCCCGGTTTTCGACAAAAAGATAAAAAACCTTCACAGTAGCAAGTTGGGGACGTTTTCGTTTCATGTTATTATGTGGCGTAAGGCAGTATTTTGCTACAAAAAAACTGCCGGCAGAAGTCACGATGATCGTGATGTCTTGTGCATTGAATTCGCGAGGATGACGGGAGAAGAGTACTCGCAGGACAAGGCTCTTCGTTCAGAGCACGCCCACAGTATGTTTCTTTTTCGTATATTGATTGGACGCACCCAGTGGTAGGTGGACACGACGATCTTGACCTCGAGGATGCCTCCTTCGGCGTACGTCTCCAGCACGGGGTATTTGCTGTTCTCCTGCCCGTACTTGTTGGAGCCTTCGGCCGCGGTCTGAAGCGAGGAGGAAACGAAGAAAGGCGCGCACGGGTTGCAAAAAAAAAAGCAATCGAGTACTCCTCTGCCTCCTGTCTCCGTACCGTGGGTCATGTTGCACATTAGGTAGTCAACGAAATAATGATCTGATTGGATGATGAGGCCTCTCGTGCGCGGGCGGGAGACTTCGTCTTGTAGTATATGATCCATGGGTATGTTGGACAGGACGACTACGACGCACATATTTTTCATGGGTATTGGGAGCCGATTCGCTTGCACAACGCATTAATTAGGGTGGCCTATAGAAATTTGGTGAGCAAAGCTGCTCGGTTTTTACAAATCCCGAGACGTCCGATGAGATCCATCGGGTGGTTCATAATTTGAACAATATTATTTATAGTTTGCTCCATAAATTGGTTCCACCTTCGGTCTGATAGGTAATAGCTCTCGACAACGGTGAGATTATTTCTTTGTGGCGTCTCCTAGCTTTCCCCCGCCCCCCCCACAGCATGTCCTTCAGACAAAAACAAACTACAGTTTAACAAAAGTCTACACTGCCACAGCAAGCGAATACCTGCTCGGGGTCGCCGCAGACCCCGTGCCGCTGAGCCACCTCGTCGCTCTCGATGTAGTTCCCGTTTTCAGCACGTTCCCCGTTGAAGTGGGGCCACGGCTGGTCGCCACCACGCGCGCGGATCGCGGCCGGCCCACGGCTCTGAAAACAGTGTGGGCAGTAATTTATGTCCGGCGATCCCCTTTGGAGAGGAGGAGAAGCGGGCCAGGGGGGGATATGTTCGTCAGGCATGACCGCGTGTATGTTTTTATTTTTAGGATCGACCGCGCTAACCGGCTTACCAATGAAAAGACGTCAGTCGCAGTGCGGTTGAAAACACCGAGTGTGTGTGTAATTATTACTAGCATCGTGTTGTTGTTGTTGTTGTTTCTCACATTAGCTCTAAAAAAAAAGATTGGGAGTCCGTGGTCTCAAAACCCGGCATACACGACCCCGCGAAGAAACAGAAAAAAATAGGGTACAAAAACCACTCGGAAGAGAAACAAAATAAATGATAGAAAGAAAGACCAGCTACCGCACCAAACGAGAAAGAGCGTCGAGGAGACCGATCAAAATAAAATAAAAGGAGAACGGGGAACGCTTCCCACACCCGCCTTGTGTGTGCGTTGGGCTGTGGGAATTTGATTTTTTTTTTTTTTCGCTGCAAATCAGCGCCCACAACAACCTGTGGCCACACAGGAGGGTTCCAATCCCTGGGGGCCTCTGCCCACTCCCTCCTGTGGTACACTTTGCCTTCAAGCTTCTATGAAGCAACGATCCGAAAAAAAAGTGGTGTCTTGGCAGCCGTAGACAGATTCTCAGGATCTTTGATACACACGTCCCCGATCGCCATGACGAGGAGCGAGGTGCACACATAAGCCGACTCGCGTTGTGGCGCAAAACTACTGCTGTACGTGCCTAAACAGCACCGAGTGCTCTCTCCGAACAGATGTTATGGATTGTTACGGTGAGGGGAGAGAGAGGTGCATGGCGTAAGCTACATTACCATAAACTATGCTGCCACTGCTGGAATCACCCCGTGGATAATATTTTTGGCATCTCCACAGGGGTCGTGGAAGGAGACAAGACTAGTCTACTTTATTTAGTAAATACCTGTCATCACACACACTGCACACTGCAACCCAATGTCACTTCTGGCTGCGGGCTGGAGTGCACACGCAAGCTACAGCATTGATTCCCAAAACTCACGGTTCTTGGAAGGCTTCCGTGCCCCAGAGCTGGCGCGAGACCGGGATCATCATGTAAGCGTGGCCATCGCCGACAGGCAGCTGGGCGAAGAATCCGCTGACGGCGAGAAGTGCTGCGGCTGCTGTTGTCGTTGACATTGCTGTGATGATGTTGGGCCCTTGTGTTCTAGACCTGTTGATGGTGCAGCTGATTGCAGGAGGAGTGTCGGTGATGGATCACAGCTCGAGGAACGCTCTTGTTGGGAGAGAAGAGGTGGGAGGAGAAGGTGTGAGTGAGTGGCGTAAGATGTGGAGGGTAGGTGGGGTGTGTGGAAAAAGATCTGTTGGATCTTTTCAACCGCTATTGATACCGTTGCGGCACCAAAAAAGTTTGTGCGTCAATATCAACGGTTTTGAGAGACGGTGGATGTTCATGCATCTATCTCTCTTACTCATCGCAGGAGGTAGAGACCGTCGTGCATATGTCTGTTGTAAACCGGGCGACAGCACGGAAAGGAATAGAGATAAGAAGGGGCATAGGCGAGAGAGATAAAGAAGGGCAGTGATTGGGATACACACACCATCCCATCCTCCGTAGGTAGACTACGTGTACATGATTCATGTAAATAGTTCGTTGCTTCAGAAATATAGTCTAGTCAGTCGAGCCAGAAATTTAGGAACACAAAAAAAGAGATCCGATGTACGTATGCAACCGCTTGGGGGTACTGGACGTTGCGATGAGCGTTTTACGACGTCATAATGAGCGTTCGTCGTAGTAGCTCAAACTTGAATTATTTTTCGGGGATTCATTTGTTCGTGTTCACAGGATTCACCAACAGCAACGACTGCTGTATGTAGAATAGCTCTACATGTTGTGACACAGCCAACAAATTTTCCACCAACTTCCGCTGTTGTTTTGCGTGGTGTCGCGAAAGCACACATTACATACATTTATGTCACACGGAAGGCGTCCGCGTCAGCCAGTCCGTTAGACCAGTACGTGCGTACGTAGTACATGAGAAGGTATAAACTAGACTGATAGAAGATCGGAACGTTTTACAATGTGAAGATAACAACAACAACAACAACAACAACAACAAACAACCAGCGCAACAATAATAATATTATAGTGTACAATCAAAGATATGCCCGTTGAGATAGATGTGGTACCACATCCATCCTCCATCCATCCATCCATCCGTCTATCTGCAAGAAGTATACTATCGTCGGAAGGTATACTATCTGCGAGAAGTATACCCAGACAGACGCCTTCCCGTAACAAACATCGGCATATTTATTTATTTTTGCCTTCCGACAATTTCAGATGTACCTCAGAAAACTTTCACTTAATGTCTCATACTCTACATGAATATTAAACCAATACGAAGTACAACAACATATGTAGGTCTTATTTCTACTGTCATTTACATCGTAAAAGTATCTCCTCTTCAACTTACCAATGACAATCCTGATGGTATCCTATATGCGTTCGTAAGCTTGCTAAAATACTACTGCGTTGATGTCCGCTTGTAAAAGCTGAAATCCAACAAATGCTTTGATCCATGCTACATCTCCGTGTTGGAAAAGCCCTTTCATCTCCGTTCATGATAACATCTTACCCTATTCTACGCAAATCTGTCACATCTA